TATATTGCTTATTGGTTAGTCTTTCATATTTTAGGATATTTCATGTTTTCAGTTATGTTGCATATATTTCTCTCTTTAAAAAAAATGTTAATGGAGCACCTTATATCATTTGTTCTTTCAATAATTTGATGATTATGTTTGAGTTCATACTGAAATCTTTGCATTTTGATTACAGAATTTGTATCTTGTTAAATCTGAGCAGTTTGTGACATTTATTGAGATCACTTCTGAACCTTTTTATGTCAAGGTTATTTTCTTCAGGAGTTACATTTGTCAATCAATCCTCTATTTTCTCGATTTAATCTCATTGCTGTATTAAAGATATTAAAGAGATATCTTTTCTGTTTTTTTTATTTAACTGATAGAAGATCAGCAATGAAAGACATGAGTAAACAAAAAGAATCCCATTCAGCAAGTTTCTTGCTTTCTATCTTCCTCCATTGACTCAAACCCCAACTGTGTGGAAGCACAGAGCATAAATAGCTGAGAAATGTCTTTTCTGAGGAGCCAAAGTGCTGGATTTAACCCCTCTGCACTGATCCCCCAGGCTGCTGCTTAATTCTTCAATTTTCAGCTGTTAGAGATAGAATAGGAATAATAAACATCTGAAACAGCCAGTAATAATCCATCTGACCCCTCTCCCCTCCTCTGTATGGCACAGAGGCCAGGCTAGAGTTTCAGTCCGTCCTAATCTCTGCCAAAGACTCTGCACTCGCCTGGCCGACTAATGACACCATATCACCAAACTTCAGCAGCCTGGGACTGATTATCACCACATTCATGCACACCCCCCCCAAAAATCTCTCTCTCTCACACACACACACACATTTTGAACTTTACTGCGTATGTAGAACGTGATAGCTTTTTGTATGAAATTGTATGGTCTACAAAATCATTCAATTCAGACTTGTCAAGATGTTTATTTTTTTATGGATTTATTTATTATCTCCATGTGGAATTAAAAGTAACACCGTGTTTCTGTGTCATATCCAATGAGTTCTTCAAAACGTGTCTAGTCACACTAATAATGTCATGCTATTGATCAAGTATATCAAACTAAATATGTTATTTTTTTATCTTCATACATTTGTGTATAATCCTGACATTTTTCCAGTCTTGCCTTATGTAAGGCTTGTACTTTTTTTCTTTTTTAAAGATGATTGCCCTATTTTATATTTGTTCAGCTATAGCAGAGAATGAACACATGTCTTCAGGAGAGGCATTCTCTCTGGCTCTAGAATGGCATTGTCTAATTATAGGCTCATTTTATTTTAGGTGGTTGCTGGAAAAAGCATGACAATATTTCCTCTACCAGCCATGTGTATCACTCAGCAGTGTACAGCTGTCACCTAAAATGAGACATGAAAATTAGCCATTTCAACAGAATAGTGCAGCAATAGCCAGAGTAAATCTGGCACACTCCCTAAAAGCTATCACACACTCCGATACATACACATGAAGGTATATAGATTTTCATAGATCACTACCTTTCAAAAAGTGTTCTCTCTGATACATTTTTTCAGGATTCTCTGATGAATAGAAAGTGGGGAAAAAAACAGCATTTATTTGAAATAGAACCCTTTTGTAACATAAATATCTGTCACACATGATCGATTAAATTAATCCTTGCATTTCTTTAAAAAGAATCTTACTGACCCTAATGAATTATTCAAACTATTTATTTTTATAAAAATATTTTTCTCTGCTAGAAATTGTTCTTTGTGAGTGCTATATCTTGTAAAATATGAATTTATATATTATTTGAAATATTTAAAATCTATATATTTTTCTGCAATTACTAAATGACTAGGAAAGTAATGGAAAAATGTATTGGCCATAAGGTGTGAGAACACAGATGAGTGCAGCCTATTTTAGTTTAAAACTGAAAATCACTAGCATGTCATCTTCATTAAGGGTTGTGTTGGAGTAGTCCTGCTCTTTTGCTCGCTTAATGAGTACCAGCGGGGGAACACTGCAAGGCTTGCAGCTTCTCATTCAACCAAATTACTTATTACCCTGATTCATCACTGGGCTGTCATTCGTGCACCTGAACGCCCTGCACTGTACAGGCGCAAGATGGAAAAGCTGCTAAAAGCTGGCATGACCTCCAGCAATGAGGTCAGATTGAGATTTTCAGCGTTTTAGGTCATTAGCGGTCTTTCTCATCCATGGTGTTTGTTTTGGAGTCCTGCATCAAGTAAGCTCAGCTGCTCTGTTCTTTTGTGTTTATAATCTAATATGCTCAAGATATCATGTGGTCAGTGAACATGATGTTTGAGGTTGTACTGGGTGGTGAATTGTGCACACTTGAGGTTGATTTTATGAGTGACACCTGTCAAACTCCCTCTATCCCGCTCTGTTCTTCCCTTTCTAGCTCTGATGTAAGACTGCTTTGTGGTCATTAGTGCTGCACTCAGCAGGCTTGCAGTAGCCAGACTGCTTGCCTCAGCATTAATGCTTCATTTTTTTTCTCTTCTGGTAGGCGATAGAGTGATGGGCCTGCATCCTCACAAGGCCCTGCCAATCTTCTCCAGTATACAGCCACTATCATATACCAATTATAGTCAGCCTGGGAAGAAAAACTACACTGTTACTAGAGACCGACGCACAGTTAATTGGTGTTTCCGCATGGGATTGTAAATGCTTGTATTTAGCATTTCCACTTTTTAAATGGTGGCTTACGCACTTTTAAGCTACAAAGAGTTGAAATAAAAGGATGAAAATGGCAGTCTAGCGTTTCACCCCACGCTTTGTGCTGAGCTACAGTGATTTCCACTGGTGTGCCACTAAGAATAGTACCGGTTAAGGCTTTTTGTGAGGAAGTTTCTTTTGAACGGGGGTGGTGCTGAATGGCAGCATTATGGGGATAAAAGACCTTTGTTGGACAAAGGATAGTTTTATAGATGCTGATGGAGCAAGTTGCTGTGTAGAGTTGACTTGGTTACTGGTTGCACGGTGGGCTTTTTTCCTTAGGGGGAAATTTATAAATTTATATTTATATAAATTGAACCTTTACATTTTTTTTTTTTTTTTTTGCTCAAACAATTTCCCCAATGCTTTAAACACTGACGTCTGCATGCTTTTTGTTTATAGGTGTATTCAGAGGCGATACAGTGATATGATGGAGATTTACACCACAAGTGCCATGCGACGCGTTACATTTGGATGCGACGGATTTGAGTGCACATTGCTAAACACAGCGCTCTAAAAACAGATCCTCAGCTGTGCAGAAATGCTCCATACGCAACCTCACACACTCTTTACACTCCTCACAAATTGCTGATGAGCTCCAAAAATAAAAGCACAGGACTCTCCAGTCCACCTGTGAAAATGTGGGAGTCAGAATGTATAGGTTCCATTACTTCAGGCCTCTCCTATATGCTAACATGCTAAATGGTTAGTGTGGCAGCTGCAGTCATATCATGTGTTCGCAGAAAAGCATTTGACCTGACGCTTTGAGCTTTATGCTAAACTGAAACCAATTTCTAATGTTAAAATAAAATGATTCACTATGATTTTGAGTGAATTGAGTTGTTTCAGTATTTTCTTATATGTCGAAATAGGCACAGAAGCAGAGCTGAATCGCTTGAGCATGTCAGACTGGACTTTGGTGTCAATAAAGTGTTCCTATAGCGGTCATGACCTTTGCTGATGCAAGTCCAGTGAACAGATACAAAAAGGTCAGTGATTGTCTTGAAATTTCAACCAAATTGAGGCATAAAGTCTACATTTTGAGAATATTCGACCAGTGTAAGAGTCTATTTGAAAGCTTCACGTATGTAAGTCTTTGATCTAGAATTTGACTCACTTTAAGTAACAATTAATTCTTCTGTGATTTAAGGTGAAAATTATGCATTTTCATAATACAGTGTTTTTATATATATATAAAGTTGTGAAAGTCCATATAACAACTACTAAGTTAAGTCACTGATCAAGAAATGTCCACTAATCTGAAGCATAAGTTTTACATTTTGATAATATCATTTTACTAGTTAAAAGTTTGGGGTCGATAAGATTTTAAAAACAAATTTGAAAGAAGTATCTTATGCTCACCATGTCTGTATTTATTTGATTAAAAATACAGTAAAACAGTCATATTGTGAAATATTATTACAATTTAAAATAACTGTTTTCTGTTTTATTATATTTTAAAATATATTAAAATATATATATATATATTATAAAATGTATATTTTTCAGTATCATTACTCCAGTCTTCAGTGTCGCCTGATACTTCAGAAATCATTCTAAAATGATGATTTGGTGTTCAAGAAACATTTCTTATTATTATCAATGTTGAAAACAAAGCGTCTTAATATTTTTTGTGGATTTTCAGGATTCTTTGTTGAATAAGAACAGCATTTATTTGGATTATAAATCTTTTGTAACATTATAAGTGTCCTTAGTGTCACTTTGGATCAGTTTAATGCATCCTTGGTGAATTAAATTAATAATTTCTTTAAAAAAACAACAACTAAATTATGAGTTTGAGATCTTAAATTGTTTAGAAATGTCTTATTGGACTCACATTAAGTTAGAATTAAAGTTCCAGTAATAATTTGTGGCATAGTGTTTACCATATATAGTATTGATCAGTATTTCAGAGTCAGGAGTAATTTTGCTATTTTCGACCAAAATAAACATCTTCACACTAATTCCCTCAGGGACTAGCCTAGCTCAGCCTCTGCCTTTCCCTCCACCACAACTAGCTTCTCTATTTCTCTCTCAGAAAAAGAATACAAGCCTGCACTCCAAGCATGATTGGTCAGCTGCCCCCACCCCATAGCCCTCCTCTCATTCTCTCTTTCTCTCTCTCTCTCTGCTTAAATAGTTTTAACAAAAAATAGAGAGAGAGAGAGAGAGGTAGGGAGAGGGGGATGGGGAAAGCTGGGGGAGGGTAATTGTGTATGTGTGTGTGTGGGTGCTCTGTTGTCACTGGTTGAGAGAGAGAAAGAGAGAGAGAGAGAGAGAGAGAGAGAGAGAGAGAGAGAGAGAGAGAGAGAGAGAGAGAGAGAGAGAGAGAGAGAGAGAGAGAGAGAGAGAGTTTAGTCTTGTTCCATATGTGGAAAAAAAGCATAGTACTGCACACACGAGCCTGTCTGCTCCAGGGATTATCTAACAGCTTTTGAATCTGATGTGGAAATGCAGGCATGAGTAGGTGAGTCTACCTTGACTATTAAACTGGACACTTTGCTGCTGTTGTTCTCATCTGAAGCTGTAAATGATTGAAAGTCTTAACTCTGCATAGCACTGTCCTCTACTTCTCCTGATAGCCTGTACTCTTCTTCTTCTCTCCGTTTCATTGCATTCTCCCTCCTTTAATGTGAAACAGCCTCTTCTGCATTCCCCGCACTGCATGCAGGTGTCGGTTTTTAGGCGAACGACTCTTGCTGTCTGCATGTGTGTGCATGAGTTTGGTATATAGATGTGTCAGGCTTCATTCTCAGCAAGTTTAGAGGTTGTTTATTTAGTATAGTATTTCAGTCAGTGGTCCAATGTAAAAGCTTCCATGTCAAGTTTAAAATATTGTAAAAGCATCACACTGGAATAAAGTTTTGTATTTTTTCTGGTCTAACAATATTCATTTCACACAATTTCTCATTTTTGTCACAAAATCAACAGTTACATGAAAGAGAACATCAACAAAAATATATACTATATTAACTTAACTAAAGTTTTAAGCCATTTTTAATTTTTTTATTAACCTATGCATGAACCTCTAAATAAAAATATACTATATTAAATAAAATTATCTTGTGTATTATGTTGTGTACTCATTTACAGGTGTGTGTAATATATATATATATATATATATATATATATATATATATACATGTGTGTATGTTAACTTGACCAGATTCAATAATAAAGTGATCATTAAAACATTGGTGTGATTAAAAATACATATATTTACACATTAACACAAAATAATTTCTGTACACATAAAACTATTTATTTAATTTTTAAGCATAATTTTGTAAAGAATGGTTTGTCAGTTGCCATTTCATTTCCTGAAAGCAGGGCTGGACGCCATGCTGTTTGACTAACATTATTATGTAATATTTTTCATTCATGTGTGAGCTATCCTACACGCTCACTTGAGAAGGAATGACGCTGTCCTTTGGGAAACACCAAACAAATTGTTCATGCTGGATTTTTAGATATACTAAATTCATTAGATATTAGATTTTTATTATTTATTTAAAAAATTTTTTTTAATATTTGTGAGTCATTTCAGAAACAGATTTTCTATCACTAATATGCTTCAATAATAAAAAAATATTTATATACTTTATAAGAAATTATATAAGAAATTAAAAATAATGCTATTTATTCATTCATTGCAAAATAATGCAATACATATTATATATATATATATATATATATAGCCTATATATATGTGTGTGTGTGTGTGTGTGTGTATATGTGATTGCCAATATACGGTAGTTGTTTTTTAATATATCTTCTGTTTAATATATCTTTTTTTTCTCATAGAAAAAAAAAAGATAATTGAGCCAGGAGAGTGTGTGGCAAGGGATGAAATGAGCTTAATTTTGTGAAAGCATGCTCTCTGGCTGCTGTTATGAGGCGAGGGGAACGGCTATGGTATGCATGGTGCTTTTTGTCAGGGAGATTTAGAAAGCCCTCTTTAGAAGCTGGACACAACCATACAATCAGCTTAATGCCTGTGTGCAGGCTCTTAATGAATACCCCTGTGTGTGTTCAGCCCACAGTGAGAGTCCCTGTGTCCGTGACTGTTTCACTCTTGCCTAAAATTGAGATGAAGTCTTAGAGGCTCTTGATTGTAGGTTGCACACTATGCTCACATATATGCATCATAAACTTGTTTGTTTACATTTTAAAACAATCACATGGATTATGCAGTGCAGTGTATGCGTTAATGTGGAACATTAACCCCTCTTGAATTCTCCTCCTCCTCTTTTTATTTTTTCAGGAACACGTTTTTTAGAGTCCCAATGTGAGCAGAGGCCAGCGATGGACTACAGCCGTACAGACGCTAACCTGGGTTTCTCCGCAGAACTGTTACCATAATCGAGACCAGATCCGCAGAATGCTGAGTCCCATTGTTCCCTATAGTAAGTGTAACCTTTTTGATGTCAAACCCCAGAAAAGGCAATAAATAACTTATTGTCAACTCCAGACTAGTAAAAAATTCCCCTACGGCTACTTAGGTATTTGGTTTGTTGGTAAACCAGTTTGAACAATGCCACAATTTAAAAATGAAATGTCTCAGATGTTCACCCCAGTGTCCTCACCATGATGTTTTAATGAAAAAACCCAAAGTATATGTCATGGTTGGTAGGACAGGTGTGGGGGTGAGCTGATGGCTCTACCAGGAGAAACCCTGTGGTTCTGCCAGTGTCATCTCGCTATGATTACCCACCAGTGTCCAGCTTACTAGCATAGTTACTTCCTCTATCTCTGTCCTTTTCTGTCTGTCTTTCTTTCTCTTCTTTTCTGCCTCCCTTTCTCCAGCTCTCTTCCCCCTCCTCACTGTTCTCGACTGACCTAATAACTGACGTGTCCAGTTTTAGCCCCCATTCCTAACCCCCCTGCCAGGCTTCAGTTGAGCTCCGCGCTGGCCCTCTCCAAAACAGCATTGTTTGTAGGCCAGCATGGGGTTTCTTCCCCCAGTTCTGCCTGAAGAGATGCTTTTTTCTCCACTCTTTAGCTCTTCTTCTCTGTGCTATATAGGCATGACAGTTACATGAAAAGAGGGAGGGAAATCAAACTAAAGGACCAAGGCACCTCAATTTGAGCTGTAATCATGTATTAATGAGTCGCCAGCTTGAATACCTTTCAGCTGGCTTGCTAGGTTGTTGCAGCAACCGATTACCATTGATGTCTAATATGGTGTTATAATTCCATTTAGCACGACATTCAGAGGACCTTTGTCATATGTGCCGATGGAATAACTTTTTGTGTTTGTTTTGATAAATTCATTTTGTCATGCAAATAGTTAGAACTGCATTCTGTAGGCCTACAAATGTTTTAGGGCCCGTCCACACGAAGACGCGTTTCGCTGTATACGTATAAATTTTTTATCGTATTGGCGTTTCGTCCACACGGATCCGGCGTTTTGGGAGAGTGAAACCGCTATTTTTTGAAACCGGGTCCCAAAGTGGATAAATCTGAAAACGACACCCTTGCGGTTTCGTGTGTACAGCCAATCCGTATATTTTGTGAAACGATGATGTCATCACATCACGTGTGGCTGCGTGCGTGACGCATCACACGTAACAGCAACAACAATAATGGCGGACTACATGATTGTGTTCGTGCTGCAGAAGCTACTAAGCCTACTAGCATTATTACAGCAAATTCTTTACAGCAAATTATTACATCTTCGTCTTCTTCTTCTTGGTTCGTATTCAGCGCGCAAGGTTATGCGCATGCTCAAAGTCTTCTTCTCCGTGTATAGTGTATCTCTGTGGCAGAATTACAGCGCCCCATGCTGGTCTGGCATATATACTACACCGTTTTCAGTCGGTTTCAGTGGTTTCGTGTGTACGCAGATATTTCTTGAGACGACGCCGTGTTTACGGATTTTTTTTTTAGAACGAGGAAAACAAAATATCGGATAGGGAACGCACCGGCTTCGTGTGGACGTGGCCTTAGAAGACAAGAAAAACTTGTCTTCAAGGGAAGAGCTTTTATATTTTTGTGTAATCACTCAGTACTAATCATAATTCCACATTTGGGTGGAATTCGGGTGAGCAAGATTAATGCAAAATAAGAAATTACTCCTTTTTTGAAATGACTAATTCAGCAAGGATGCATTCAATTGATCAAAAGTGACAGTAAAGACATTTATAATGTAACATAAGATTTCTTAAAAAATATTATCCTTAAAGAAATGTATCATGGTTTCCACAAAAATATTAAGCAGGTTAATATTTAACGTTAATATTAAACGTTTTCCACATTAATAATAATAAGAAATATTTCTGAAGGATCATGTGACACTGAAGCCTGGAGTAATGATGCTGAAAATTCAGCTTTGACTTCACAGGAATACTTTACATTTTACAATATATTAAAATAGAAAACGATTATTTTAAATTGTAATATTATTTCACAATATTTCTGTTTTTACTGTATTTTTGTCAAATAGATATAGGGTGTGAGCATACGAGATTTCTTGTTAAATAATTTTTTTAAACCTTACTTTGAAAGGTAGTTTGTATATAAATGATTTATTGATTTATTAATTTATATTTATAGTTGATTAAAGTTCTGCCTTTCCTTGTATAATGAATCAGTGATAGGTTCTAATCTGAAACTCTTTTCTGTCTAGTCTCTCTTTGCACACTTTATTTTCAAAAATGTCACAAAGCCCTGTCAGAATATTTTGAATTCTTTGAAGATCTAGAAAGTTGTTATTTGTGTGTGTGTGTGTGTGTGATTTAGTGCACAAACCTCTTAACCACTGATTTGAGATGGCTAATGTCGCAGATCCTGATTTTCCAGTATTGCAGGATGCATTTAGATTTTGAAACTGATCTTTTTGTTTCTAAAGTTTGATGCTTATGGACTGTGCATATGTGTGTGTGAATGTTTCCCTGAGTGTCTAGTGTGATATTAGGACAGCACACAAAGGTGTTAGATATTCTTTGGAGTTCACCCTTTGAGCTTTTAAACCCAGGCAAATACCTTTTTCTCCAGGTCGTTCGCAGTCCCGAAATGTCCTTTCTGTTCATTCTGCCTCATAATTCGTCTGTGCCGGAGCCAGTTGAATGTAGGGCAGCTTATGTGGTATATATGTGAATAGTGTCACATCCATGCTGGAATTTTCTTTGTGGAGCAACTGAGCATTTCTGACATCAGTGTTTATGTTTGCATCAAGAGGACAGGCATGTTTGTACTCCAAATGTGCGTTTGAGCATTTCGTTTCATGTCTGTCACATGCAATTACATATACTCTCATTGCATCAACAAACAAAAGTGTTGCATTGATGAGCACGTAGGAACCGTAAGCTGAAGAGGTTCAGAGTCGGAGCTGAAGGAAATCTGAGAGAGATTCCTGGGGCCATGGATACTCCTGGAGGGATTTGGTGCAAAGAATCTGTAATCTGCACTTCAAACACACCCTTAAATCAGTCCCAGGCCAGCAGCCCATGAGTGCTCTAACTCTTGTTGCTTGGGGGCCCTGCTGTCCAACATATTCCTTGTGTAAAGAGAAACAAGCATAGCCTCAGCTCTCTCGCTTTATGACCTCATTTCTTCCCTACTCCACACTAAAGGCCTGGGCAGATGAGGCACTCTAATTGCATCTGTTAAGTCATTAAGGCTTTGAGTTTGGTCTATAGGAAGGGGCGCTTTGGATGGCGCAGAAGGAGAGATTAACAACGAGCATCTAACACATCTATTCTAATGAGAGCGACAGGGTGAATACGCTTCTGGAGAGGCATGCGGACCCTTGAGTAAACAGGCAAGGTGCTGAAGTGTTTGTGTGAATGAGTGCGGGATCATTAGCGTTGGGTGTGAATGGACTTTAATTAGCCCGCAGTGCAGTCAGTGAGATGGAAAAGAATCTGTGGCCATAGGAAAAGCAGCTTAGCGATACACATTCTGCCTGGGACCCCCCTGCCTCAGCTCATCATCTCACCATCGTTGAAGACCGCTCATTAGGCCCGTTGCTGCCACAATTAGGCTTCCAATTAAGTCCCGGACTTCTGAGGGTTATTGGGCATCAAGCTTGCAATCACTGCTCCAAGATATCACTCAAACTGCTTGTCCATGGTTCTCTAATTAAAGGTATAGTTCAATCAAAAAATGAAAATTGTGCCCTTATGTTTTTCCAAACATGTATGTCTTTGGAGCACAGAAGGAGTTGTTGTTTTTTGCACATACAGTGAAAGTCCATATGGTCCAATGTTGTTTCATTACATGGACAAAGCCGGTTGAAAACATTCTTCAAAATATCTTCATTTGTGTTCTGCAGAAGATACATAAAGCATTCCTGTAGCTCAAACAGTAGAGCATGGCACTGCAAAGGTCATCGATTCCCATGGAAAGCAAAAACTGATCAAATGCAACGGAAGTCGCTTTGGATCGAAGCGTCTGTCAAATGCATAAATGTAAAAATAAGGTCATACAGGTAACAGGTTTGGAATGATACGAGGGTGTGTAAATGACAGAATTTAGATTTTTGGATGAACTATCCCTTTAAGCTGGAGCAAATCAGGCATTTGCGTAACATACTTTATGTCCAGCGTTCAATCCTAGTCATATTTGTGAGTGTGCACACAGAACATCCCGACACGGTTGTTGGGTTATTAAATAAAGCGGCCAGGGAAATCGAGAGAGGGCACTGATACGCAGTCCGGACACTCTGTGAGGGGGCAGGGTGAAAAGGAAGGAGGGAGGGAGGGAGGGAGGGGTGGGGGGGTGGAGAGAGATTGGAAGAAGGAGATGGAGGAGAACAGGGGGAGATGGAGGAGAGATTGGGTAAGAGGGACAGATGGAAGGGGGTGATTGGTCATCACAGAGCCTAAGGACAGCTGTTCTTTGATATATTAGTGGACACAATGACCTAAACCTGGCCTGCGGCCGCAGAAAATAGGAACCCTGTTTTTCTTAAAGGGGAGGGGTGCCAGGCATTTGGCCATTTGTGGACAAGAATTAGCTGGTCAGGGGGGTGGGGATGTTGTTTTTAAAATTATGAGCATCTAATCATTCATTCAAACCACCAAGGCTATGGGTTTCTCTCATTTTCATTGCAAAATGAGCTCAAATGTGCACAAGTATTTATTCACAAATTAAACAGATATTGCACTTGACAACATCATGACACTTTTATTTATTTATTTTTTCCATTTAATTTTTTCCCCCCATTTTTATTCTAGTCATCATTAACATGAACCCACGGATTGCAATTTACTGTGTCCCAAAAGGCAAAGCAATAACACCTTCAAAGCTGAGAGATTATGGACTGCAGCTCACATGGATGACTAGTGAGAAAGAGCGAGAGAGAGAGAGAGAGAGAAGGAAAAAAATCAGATCATTCACTGCCACTCTAGCAGATAGGCTCCTTCCTCTTGGGACCCCACCGGGCCTGGCTGAAAAGAGCCAC